GCTAGCTGCAGAAGCCATGCCGTCTGGACAGCGTCCATGCCAATTTTCTCAAACTGCACAACTGGAAGATAGTGTGACAAAACATGGCCGGTGGGGGCCCAAAACTGGGGGCTTGAAAAGTGATGCCAAAGGGACTCCCGTACCATGTACCCCCATAGTAATATGATATATATATATATATATACACATACAACATCACACAACATATTATAACTTAAAGATATTACATTCAATCTGCTATCTTATCGTATCAAATACAGAGAACCTCAGGAGTTCAGCCAGTGGCAGGCTGGTATCAGCTACCAATCCGGCTATAAACTGCCGGTTTGCGAAGCTCTGGATTTGCTTTAGGCGTTCTATTCCCCCTCTTAGAACACCGAGGATGATTGCTAGTCCCTTCGCCCTAATATTGAATGAAATACTCCCCGTATGGGACAACAACATGAATGGATCCAATACTAAACGGGTTTCGTTTGAAGGAATATTCATATTGGAGGACCAGATTCTTTGTCTCCAAGCCAGGGGAACTCAACACATCTCAAAAATCCAAACTTTCCTATGGGTCAAGGGACACTAGTGTATCTATATATACAAATATATCTATGTATTCATGTATTTAGGTAGATACATTGTAAACTATAATTATAATACAATAACATATGATATGTACGAGTGTATATTATAATTTCATATGTATATATCACTAACCTCATAATAACATATAATAATATACCCAATATCATGTAAAACTATATATCTGGGTAAATCAAAATATTTCACTAGCCTCAAGTAAGGCGAACGCTGGGATGATTCCCCTTACCCATCCCAGGATTTTAGACCATTGGTTTGGACACAGCCAGATGTATAGATATTTGAGTAACCATCACTAAAGAAAACACTATAATCATTGTTAACCCCCACATATATATATATATATGTATATATTTATACATAATTATACATAGATCATGTGTATATTTAAAAATAAATGCATATATCATGTGCGTATATATATTTATATATATGTACATATCATGTGTGTATATATATATATATGTACATATCATGTATATATATATGTATATATATATATATCATGTATGTAAATATATATATATATACATATCACATATACATATAGTACATATAGATAAATTTATCACATATATATATATATACACATAGATTTAACCATTTATGTCTAAGAATTCACCCCATCGGCAGCCGCCTCATGAGTTTCCACGGGGTGGAGCACTTGGATTTGACCCACCTGGAACCATGGGCAGCTCTGTGGGATGGATAAATGGATACCCTCTGGTAAACTAGCATAACCATGGAAAATCACCACCATTTTCCCGAATGCGTAGCAAGGGTGCCCGTGTCACTCTGGGGGTCTAGTTGGGAATTGGTGTTCGCTGAATGTCGCGTTTACGACCGCAACCGTTCGCAACCGTCCGCGACCGTTCGCAGGCGGTCGCGTGAGCCCCGTATGGCAGTGCCTGTGGCAAGTTCTACAAAAGTGGTCGCTTTTGGAGGTTTCCAATGCCGTGTAGCCTCGTTTCACGTGGCAGGCGTGGCACTTCGTGACATTCAGACGTGTTTGGTAACGTGTCGAAAGTCGTTTTGTGTGGCAGGGGCGATATACTTTTGCGTCGTTTCAAGAAGATGAGGCGCATTTTTCGTGGCAGGCGCAGCACTTTGGCGACCTCCATCGTCATTTTGCGTGGCAGGCGCAGCACTTTAGACGTGTCATGTTGCGTGTTTTTGCGAATCGCATTGTCAGGGCTGCGTCAAGTGGCGACAAGGTGCAAATTGCGTGGTGGGCGTGGCATTTTGTGAGATGTGCTGAAAATTGACGGAAGCCTCGCACGAAACATCGATTTTGCGGTAGCAAATGTTGAGGTTCATAAGAAAACTCGTAGGAAAACGTCGATTTTGAAGCTACAACTATAAAAATTGGAGGATGTCTCGAACGAAATGCTCGTTTTGATGCTCCAACATGTCTCGTCTCTAGTCTCTGGTTTTCCTGTGGCCTTGCCGTGTCTAATGTGTCTATATGAGGGAATCTGCAAAACCTATCCTGTTTCCAAGATGTCAAAGCAAGTTGTAACGTGGTTTTGCGTGGCAGGCAAAGCACTTCGTGACATTCTCATGTGTCTGCAAACGTGTCGAAAGTCATTTTGTCTGGCAGGCGCGATACTTTGAGCATACTCTACACTCTACACTCTACACTCCGCACACCACACTCCCCACTCCCCACTCCCCACTTTACACTTTACACTGAACACTTTACACTCCACACTTTACACTCCACACTTTACACTTTACACTCCTACACTTTACACTCCACACTCCACACTCTACACTCCACACTCTACACTTTACACTCCAGACTTTACACTCCACACTTTACACTCCACACTCTTCACTCTACACTCTACACTCCACACTCTACACTTTACACTCTACACTTTACACTTTACACTCCACACTTTACACTCCACACTTTACACTCCACACTCTACACTGCACGCTCTTCACTCCACACTCCACACTCCACAGTTCAGTCTCCACATATCTCCACACTCTACACTTTACACTCCACATTCCACACTTTTTATCTACACTTTACACTCCACACTCTACACTCCACACTCCGCAGTTTACACTTTACACTCCACACTCCACACTTTGCACTCCACACTCCACACTTTACACTCTACACTTTACACTCCACACTTTTTATCTACACTTTACACTCCACACTCTACACTCCACACTCCGCAGTTTACACTTTACACTCCACACTCCACACTTTGCACTCCAGCCTCTTCCGCATTCCACAGTCTAGGGGTACGGTTGTTCAAATAACTTGTTTCACAAAAGTGTTCTACGTGACTGCATTCGGGTTCGTGGGCTGCATCTTGTTTAATGGGTAAATCAACCAACCAAATGATTAAATGGCTATTTTCGATAGCAAGCTGTTTAAATTACCAGAGAGTATCCAGTGTTACAAAGTGTTACAATATATGTTACACTGGTGCAAATACCAACTATACACCAACTATAACTATAAAGTGTCAATTCTACACCAATAACAATAACATACAATAACAACTTTATATGTACATATATTGTAGCACTAATGGGTATCCATTTCAATGTAAAAACAACTCAGTTGAATAACTATCTGAAATCAGGATGGAAAATTTGGGGCACCACATGACTTAGGAAACCTCCAAATGGAGGTCCACTAGTTTAAGTATGATTATGATATTCTAATGGGATATGTTAAACTAGGTGTATCAACTTTGGGATTGATATCCCCTGATTCCTTCCCCCTATTACTAAATGTACGCATGTACTAAAAACTAGATTGGGGGGACGTTTAGTATTAGGTGGAAGGGATTGTTTCAACGATAATGGGATGCAAATGGATTGATGAATATGTATCACTGCAATACAATTGTTAATTACCATCCACGATTGATATTGAAATGGATATCTATTTCAATATCAATTCCCCATGAATAGTTAAAATGGTGGACATCCCAATAAGCTTATTATGTATTTACACATGGAACTCATTTCAACTATAATTATGGTATAAATTGGTATGACATGTAAAATTGTTTACATAGTTGAAGAATTTATGGATTGTGGCATAGAATGGGTTACCATTGGATTGCAGTTATGGACATTCCTTGTTGGGATACTACAATGAGAGAGACATCATGGATTCATATGTTGAACTTTGACTGTAGTATATATTATATGTATAGCATCAATTATCATCCACTAGAGTAGCCCTCCGGAAGTCAAACGTGGCTGGCTGGAAAATCCCTAGCCAAAAAGGTTTTTAGCTGGGATCAGGGAGGGGGATGGAGGGGGCCCATGGGGATTGTTTTGAACAATGGTGGTTCATTTTGTGGCAAGTCACACCATTTGGTGGTTTTGGGGATGGGATACAGGATGGGGCCCCCATTCGAGTTCGCGTTCAGTTGCCTAAAAAAAGTGGCTTAACTATGCTTGACTATGGTTAACTATGGTTTTATGGTAGATATAACGAACTAGTTTTCATGGGGGTTATAATGGTTTATAAACCAACTAACATCACTGGAAGGTTCCATCCTGTAGGACGAAAAGGGTGGCAAACTCCCCACAGCCTGCGGCCTGCTTTTTCCGCTGCGAAGTCAGGGGAAGTCATCGATCTTTGGTTGGTGGGTCTCAATCTCCATTCGCCCCTGCGCTGTTAGTCCTTGGGTGGTACCACTTTGACTTACCCTTTGGTTATTTAACATAGCCATGGAAAATGGTCCATTTACAGATGGTTTACCTATAAAAAAATGGTGATTTTCCATGGCTATGTTAAATAGCCAGAGGGTAAATGGCAAATTCTCACCTGGGGGCATTCCCACGCATCTCGAGGATTTCGTCTCCGTGAAGAGATGTTGATTGGAGAAACACCAGCCAGTTCCACGAACTGCACCCTCCCAGGTAATTTGGCGAACTGCGGGCCTTTCAGAGACAATCATCCAGTAAGAATGGACATGAATGGACTTCAAGCTGACAAAATTCTGGAATGGCTGGGACACAATTAACACATCTTGCTCTCGTCCAGACGTTTTTTGGGACGATCGTCTCCTTTTTGTGACACGGCCGCGCGAGCCACGAAACCTGCAGCTACCGACAGCCAGGGCAATCCGCAGAACAGTTTTGATCTGCAGGTCATTGATGACAATCGGAAAGTGGTACCCTCTGGTAAACGTTTACATAACTATAGAAAATCACCATTTTTAATAGGTAAATCCACTATAAATGGCCATTCACCCAGATAAAACCATCGAACTTCGTTGACCATTTTCACATGCCAAGAAGTGGCAATCAAATGGAGCACGCGCAAGCCGCGCCCATCACCATGTCCATTAAGAATACCCCTATCCCATCTCATTATGCTATTTGGTTGATAGGTTTCCCTACTATGGACTTATCATCATCCCCAGGAAATCAGCTAGCACAAGTCCCTATAGCCAGTCAACCAGGATATTTCTAATGATTCATTTCTCATTTCTGTCAGTTGGGCCGCCACAGTTCAGCCAAGGTCTCAGTCACTACTAGTAGTCACCTGGCGACGTTTTGTGGGTGTGTGGACCATGGGGACGCCTGGAATCTGGAAACACCCATGAAACCCGTGCGCCAATTTGGGGCAGCCAACTATAGATGCATTTACATGCATTTACTCTCAGTCAATGAACATCATAGACCGGAAATGCAGATCATGTTCCTATAAGGAAAGCTTCTGAAAATCTAACCCCTCAATGAAGCCCCAACAATCATGGTTTCACCAGCCCCGAAGGTTCCCTCAGGATGTCAAACAAAAAACAAGTTCCTTCGGCCGGACTCGAAGAAGATTGGTGGATTGGTGATAGATTCTTGAGGCTACCACCAAGAGATTTAGGGCCCCCCAAGCTCAGTTCAATTTGATCATCAACCCCCCTCCTACAGTGCGCCAAAAGGACCGGACATGGCTCGCACAGTTTGCTCTGGTTAATTCTGATTGATCCTTCAGGTAGAAAACCGTAGAACACCTATGCGTTTGTTTTCAATTTGCCCTCTTTGGGCCGGGAAATAAAACATCTTGGAGCCTCGCCATTGATTCAAGAACATTAGTGTACTTCCTTCTGTACATGTTGTATGGAAGGAGCCAGCCTAGAAACATGAAAATTATGTTTCAACACCCTACTCAACCCATGGCAACATGAGGTTTGGCATAACTTGAACTTTGCAGGACATCGCGAACACCCACCTCTTGGGTTCAAAATGCGATTTATTGGGATATCTTCAACTCCGAAACACTCACATCCGCAGTGACCCACGGGTTATTCTTGCACAAGTCACGGTCGCTGCAGTAAAACTCAAAGGAGGCATCTGAATCGCTCTCCACTAACTTATGGTCCTCAGACGGGATGTCATACGCCACAATCAGATGTGTCTTTTAGGACCGCCCATATTTATCTCAACTTATCATTTTGTGTGGAGAAAACCATCCATTTTTGGGGGCCATTTTGCGCCATTGGTGTTGAACCATGTTGGACCTTTCTCATACCTCCTACACTGCTGATGGTTTGTTAATATACGGATTCTCATGATGCTAAACACGATCCCTGTCCAGCATCAGCCAACATGGGTCTGGACGCTTTGGGCACTACTTTTTTCGGCGTCAGTTTCCTGAAATCCTGCTCCTATTCTCCCTGGTCGCACAGTGGAAAGGGAACATTTTACTGCCAATCAGACGTAGTGCCTATAAAGATGAGACAAGGGACAGGCATTTTTCATCTTCAACTCATATCATCCCTTGTGCATCCTTGTGCCATGTTCGTTGGTAAAACCCACATGTTGACTCGTTCTCATCACATCCCTTGGGGCGAAAAAAAATCCCCACCTCTCTGATGGTCAGTTTCTTTCCACGAGGGGTATCCAAGTTTGCCCCATTTTATATCCCAACATATCCCAACTATCCCACATTGACTGTCCACATACGTGACAGAACCAGTTAAGTGATTTAAACCTCATGAACATGTTCGTCAATCATCACACCCAAGAACGGAGCAACAAAAAATCATCCCAACAATATCAAGCAGAAAACATATCACCCAGATCCCTGACAGTAGCTGGTAGCAATAAGGATACTTGAAGACATCCACCAGAAAAAAATGAATCTCCGAAAATACAGCTGTATCTCCGATCATCCTTTCAGAAATCCTTTCCATTCATCCATTTTTCATCCATTTCGGAGGCACCTTCTTATAGACCACAGAGATTTGCTCTGGCAGCATTGATCCAAGCATATGATCGGGGAGCTCCACCTCCTTGGTCGGGACAGCGGATTGGATCATCCTCATCCCATGGATACCCTCTGGTAAACATACAAAAACCTACTGAAAATGGCCACTGAAATAGATGAAATAGTTGATTTACCAATTATATAAAAACTGTGATTTTCCATAGTTTTTTGTTTGTTTACCAGAGGGTAGAACATCAAACAGTTCAAGAACATGACCTGAAAATTGCAGGTGCCATGCCAATTCGCCATCAACCATCAGATCTTAGGCAAAGCTTACGCTGATAGCTTTGACGCAGAACGCATAGGAACTGCTTACGCCAGGAGGCATGATACTGCTTGAGCCGGAGCTTATTCATGGTACAGTAATTTGCAAAAGTGGCGTACGCCGCACACCACCTTGCGAAACCCAGGTTTTGCTTGTGCGACCCAGTCATTCGACACAACGCTTCTCAAAGTGTATACGAAGGTTTCTGACAATGCTCACAAGGCTTTTGGGAAGTGCTGAAATGGGCATGACCATCTGGTGTGAGCGGTAAATAAACACCATATTGTCTACATTTATGTAAACAATGTATATGTATATATATATATGTATAAAGATACATAAATAAATAAATAAATATATATATATGAATGTATATATTTTTTTTCTTGGTCCCGTACCACCACCCCCCCATCACATCCACAGGGGGGGAGGGATACATAGACATATGCGTATAAACATACATATACATACCGTATACATTTGCACATACACATACTACAAACGTATACACACGCATGTGTATATATATAATATACACTTCTTACATATATATATATATATAACTTACATATACATATAGGGACCATCACCATCTCGGGGGGGAGGGGGGGACCACCAAACGCTGGGCCATATAGAAACATATATATATATATGCATAATATGTATATATATATATGTATGTACATATATATATATATATAGGAGTACTATATATATATATATGATATATATATATATACAATATTAATATATATATATTATTTACATTTAATTAGATGTTCAGCACATGTCCAATCTTCGGGGATGGTCTAAAATATTATTCGCCCATGTTCGCCCGGTCCATAAATCATTGCGGTTCCCGGCCGAAAACAGACCTGACATTCGAAGAAAGAATGCTGCTGCAGGATTGAGGCACCAGGGTTGCAACCAGCAGTACAAATCCCAAAATAACATATACGTCTCAATATCTCTATATCTATCTATCTATCTATCTACCTATCTATCTATCTATCTATTCTATTCTCTTCTAATCTAATCGAATCTAATCTAATCAAATCTAATCTAATCTATCCTATCTATCCTATCTTTCTATCCTATCTATCTATCCTATCTATCTGTCTATCTATCCTATCTAATCTATCTGATCTAATCTATCCTATCTAATCTATCCTATCTAATCTATCTGATCTAATCTATCCTATCTAATCTATCCTATCTAATCTATCTAATCTAATCTATCCTATCTACACTATCCCATCTATCTAATCTAATCTAATCTATTCTATTCTAATCTGTCTATCTTATCCTATCTTATCCTATCTATCTTTTGCTATCTGACCCTATCTTATCCTATCTTTTCCTATCTTATCCTTTCCTATCTATCTTATCCTATCTATCGTACCCTGTCTATCTTATCCTATCGTATCCTATCTATCGTTTGCTATCTGATCTTATCTTATCCTATATTTTCCTATATTATCCTGTCCTTTCTATCTTGTCCTATCTATCTTACCCTATCTTATCCTATCGTATCCTATCTTATCCCACCTTATCCTGTCTATCTTATCCTATATATCTATATTTCTTTCTTATCCTATCTATCTTATCCTATCTATCTCAACCTATCTATCTATCTATCTATCTATCTATCTACCTAGCTATCTAGCTATCTAGCTATCTAGCTATCTATCTATCTACCTATCTATCTATCTATATCTATCTATCTATATCTCTCTATATCTAACTATATCTTTTTATATCTATTTATTTCTATCTATATATACATATGTATACACCATCCTGCTGAATCGAGTATACATATATATATATATATATATATTCCTTTCATATATATGTATATATTCCTTACATACATACATACATACATACATACATATATATATATATATTGCGCATATGTGTGTGTACAATCCTGCTGTAACATGTGGTGTAAATATATATATATATAATGAGATTTGGACCTGCCCCCGGGAGGGTAATAATTTCAACAACATGAAATTGGCGGGATATCTGATCTCACGCAGGATGATAAAAAGTGTTGAGCGAACTTACAAAACAGAGTGAAACTGGTCCCATTCAAACGATCAAATATCTCACCATTACCTACCCGACAAAATCAGCCGCTTACCGATAATCGCCTTAAATCATGGAATTTTGGACCCAACACATCATTGAAAACTGCAGAATCAGCCACAGTTTCTGGCATTTTCCTTGATGATTCAACTTCTTGTTTGTGCTGGTTACGCTCCTATTTTTGCTCCCAAATCACAGAGAATACTTGTCAAAATTGGGGCAAGGACGTACAAACATGGTCATCTTAGGCAAACCATTTCTGATTGGTGGTTGACCTACCCCTCTGAAAAATGTGAGTTCGTCAGTTGGGATGATTATTCCCAACTGAATGGAAAAATGAAAAACATGTTCCAAACCACCAACCAATTTTGGGGATGAGATCATCCTGCATACCCAAATAACGAGCTTGCGGCGCAATAAATGTATTGACATTGAAAAACTTAGTCATTGGGATTGTCACCAGCCAAAAATGGAATTCTATATTTACCATTGAACTGGGACCAATGAAACTGCTTCATCATGGAGGATATGGGGTTTCTGAAAATGGGGATCCCCAAAACCATGGATGGCAATGGGTTTCAATACGAAAATCGTGGTCTAATTTTGGATGATGTGGCGGTACCCCCGGGACTCCATATGTTTACTAGCATTTCCAAGCTTCCGCATGGTAGAGTTTAGCTTGTCTCACTTCCCTTTTCTTGTCCTCGGCATCGCAATGTTTCGGGGAGAAGCGAAACGGAAAAAAAACGCCATTCTTATGGCCATTGATGGCCATTGAAACATGTGGAAAAGGATTGTTAAAACCATGGCATGGAGTAGTCTTCGAAATTCTGAGACAACCTCAAATGCTGCATGGAAGATTACAAAATCAGGGAAACCACCAAGCAAAACAAGCAGGCAGAAGTCAAAATTGGTTCACCAACAAACCGCCTCTTTTTCATGGGGATTGAGCCAACAATGTTGGGGGATTAAACTCTGTAGACTAGGAATCTACCTACAAACATGGATGCCACGTAGGGTCTTGAAAATGACCAACGTTTGTGAGCCTGGTCAGTCATAATTTTTTGACATATCGTGACAGTTTTGACCCATATCCAAAGTTGTGGATAGGTCCGACATACGGACTGCGACCGTTTGAATAGTGTGCCACTCGACCCACAAACGGTGATCTTCAGGCTCGGCTTGGTAATCATTTCTATCCTGCAGTCTCAGCCATCCAGCTTGTCAGGTCAACAATTAATCAAAACCCACCGAGCAAGCCCATCTGCGAAAAGCGCCTCGATTCATGACTGCTTTGGAAAATCACAAGGATGGTAAAGATGGGTTTATCATGGTTTATCTAAAAATGGGGTACCCAACTCTCAGATTCTCGATTTACTGGGAGATGTTCGTATGTTCCTCACCAAGGTCAAAGTCCGGTATTATTTTTGCCTGGAAAAAGTCAAAAAAAACACACATCAATATATCAAAATTGAGGTGTCCCTAACATGTCTATCTTTTTTGGCCTAACATTTCTGTTGAATTTTGGGACCCACTTAAATGCTCAATGCGCATCTCACTCTTTCGCCAGGCTGCAATGCGCGGTAAGAACTCATCGGCCAATTTCAGCAATTCTTGCTTCACAGTAAATAAGGTCTGGAAAGGTTTCACTTTCAACCTCAGCCAATGTCACGCTTAGTTTACTGATCTCACTGACTTAACGGTAGAAGTAGTTACAAACCATTTACAACACCTTTCAACTGGAAAAAAATGGGAAGCACCATACTTACCCAGCATTTACATCTATTGAAGTATATAAATCTAGTATAGTTTGGTTTGCACAAGGTGTCTTTCCTGATAGCAAAAAAAACATTGACCACCTATGAAGCAAAGGTGCCATGTCATGTGAACGGCCGGCCCAAGCATTTCTCACCTGTATACCAATGGCTATCAATGGCTCTAAACTTGATCAACAGGTTTTCCCGCATCCAGAAAGAGTACCAGAGAGTAAATGTGGATGCTGCTCTTCCCCTTGCTATGGATGAAAAAATGATCAAAATATATCTAAATCTTCCCCTTGGGGATGAAAACTGATGAAAACATAGAGGAATTCCATGGAATTCCATGGAGTTCCATGGAGTTCCATGGAGTTCGCTTCACCAGGTCACTCCACGGTGCGCCCGGACATGTCGCAGCAGCGCACGGTGCGCGGCCCGTGGCGTTCAGATGCGGTGGCCCGGAGTAGAGAGGACCACCTGCGAAAAAATCAGGGCTGGAAAACATCAAAAACAAGGTTAATGATAGTACTAGATTAAATGGATAGTTCTAGTTTAACCATGTTTATTAATAGTAAATTAATGTTTATAATTTATAATAATTGGCAGCCATTAATGATATCTAGCAAATGGATAGTTAATAATACTAGGAAAAAAACATCATTTAATGATAGTACTTAATATCCAAATCATGCATGCGCTATATTAGGTTCGATCATGAAATTTGTGTGTATTCCTATAGTCAGTATTCATTGAAGGTTCATTATATGCACATACATAATGAAACTAATATAGTAAATATAATATATGAGCTATATAAAACTATATGGGCCACGGTGAATATTTGGTATATAGCTCCAAGTCATCAATGTTTGAAGAGTGTATTATCGTTTTTCAGGTTTTGGCATATAAGCAAATGTTATAGCGTTTTCAAGAGTGTATTACCGTTTTCCAAGCCCCAGCTCAATTTCAAGAAAATAAAGATGTATCGAATACTACTCTCCATTAACCTAAATTTTGGCTGTAGCTCATATAGGATCAAATTAACAATCTATAATGAATACTTGGTGTATTTCTGTATATATATATATACACATATTAAATAGTATTCATTGTAAATAAAACAGTTATATTCTATATGCCATGTGATATATGAAATATTATGCATAATATAGTTACACATGATAGTACTAATATCGTACGCATATTAATCATTATATAACTATGTTTTTCTTATTCATACAAACGCGATATGATACATGCACAATGAGAAACATTGGGACATTTAGGGAAAGAAAAGGTGGACCCTGCAGTCATCAAGCAATGTCAAGCCAAAATTATCAACCTTGGATGGCTTGAATGGGGTCTAAACGACCAAAAGATGTGGGAAAAGGTACTGTAACTTTTCAGCAGCAAATTTGATCCTCTCCATTTGGCGATACGACCCAATTGACCCAAGCCATTGAGGGACAGAAGCCCGCCACTAGCTGCGGAACAAGATGGTTTGTAGGAGCAGGACATCTATGAAGGATCCTGGGATTGTTAAATCGCTTGTCAGCTTGGATTAAGATTCCTTTTTAAAATGTTTTTGATGCAAGTGGGATAGAAATGGAGAGTCAGCCCATCTACTGGCTACTCTGTAGGCCTAATAAACTTTCCAAAATCCAGCGGTTTTTTCTACCTAAACTTCCCAACTTCCCATAGTTTCCCCAGACAAAAACCATGACAAAACCCATTAAATCACTAATTAATGCTCATCAAATCCTAATTTGATGGTGAGCTCAAATTCCAAATTCTCTGATGGTGAAGTCGTTATATCCCAAATGTGTATTGATATAAATCTCCATGTAAGCTGACTCTTTCCTGGTCAAACATACCATGCATTGCTTGGTGAAACTTCTCCATGTTAGGTCAAACATCACCGTGGAAATCAGAGGTTTTTCATGGTTTTTCAGTCCCAAACCGCCCGGCCCCAAATCTGCAACTTGGAGACTGTTCAGCATTGCTCTGCTTCAAGGCTCGCCCCACCAACTCGTTCCTACGTGGGCAAGGCAAACATGTGCAATGAGAAATCGTAGTCAGTTGAAACTTGAAAAATAAGTTGAAATGAATAGTCTAAGTAGTCATCAGTTGAAATAAGTTGAACTTAAATTAATCTCAACTTCACTTTGGATTTGGATCATCCCATTTACATTGGGTGGAAACGAAGAAAATATGCAGAGCATGTTAGCAGTACATCAACCCCAAGTCCTAGTGTATCAGGTTAGATCCAGGGGATTTTAGGGGCGCCCCATTTTTGCTCCAACGAACATATCGAACATGGGCTCAAAAAACGCAATCCACTGGTCATCCGGGTGTGAAAAAATGGAACCGAGGCCACTTCACAACCGCTTAGACTCTTAGGATGCATGAATATGATATCTGGAGCTTCATCTGATATGCGTATCTGTATGATTCTGTATGCATGTGTTTCAAAAGGTACACAAACGGTTTTTACACTCATATGTATATGTGTATATGTGTGAATATATATATATATACACTGTGAGAGGGATGGATGAGCATGGGCACTCTTGTCTACAGTGCCCCCCAATGCCAGTAAGCTCCCTGTGTTCGGCCCAACTGAGCGTCTTTTGGCAGTCATCCAGCTGTTCCAAAAAGTTATCTACTGCCTCCATGGGTTCAAAAGGGCCTGTGGCAGGCATGCCTTGTGGCTCTAAGGAAAGTCCCTGGCACTCTTGAGCCACAAGATTGCGAAATGCTGTGGTGCCCAATACCACTTAAACCATCTTAAACCCAGCTAGCATAAGCCCAGCCCTCATCAACCAACAGGGTTTTTGGACATTGCTCCCTTGTCAGGTCTTAAGTCATTGCCACAGCGCCAGTTTCCAGCTTATTATGGCCACCTCGACAAATCTCCCGAATCACCATCCCAATTTGACCCGGTATTTTTTATGGCTGGTTTATGGCTGGTTTATGGGTTTATGGGCACCACCATGAACATCGCCATTCTGAGCCATAGAAAACAGCCCCTCCCTAAGAATTTTCCCCTCACCTTCACTGGAAGGTAGTGCTTGCTCTTCAGCTTCACCCACTCCCCAGTTGCATCCACCTCAGCGACATCCAGGCCGTAGGGGATCTCTTGAATTTTTATATCAGGGGGAAGTGTGTAGATCATGATTCTTGTAGTACAACTATAGATGTTCAAAAAAAAACAAAACAACTCCAGGCCTGAAACTAATCTATCAAATCGTCGTTGAATATCTTGATTTTCGGCCATTGCCAAACAAACACATCGCGCCTTCCCTCGGACTTCCTTGCCGTCCTGCCGTGGCCGTGAAATCCCCGGGTCCCAAATTACTTTTTATAGCTGGGGAAATCATCGAACTCAGCTGATGTGAAAATTGCCATGTCTACCACAAGGGAATGCACTGATTTGATGGCTCCTGAAGAAAGCGGTCGTGTTTGTCGTCGATATTCGGGGATTTTCGCAACCTGGAGCGCTGGAATGTTCACTTCCTCCAATGATGCTGAAATATTGATACTGGCAACGTGTTCTTCATCAAAGTGTCCAGACATCATAGGGCCATCTTTCATTTCACCACAATCATTCCCTTGTGAAAATGCAGAGCCGATTTTTCCCGAGCATTCCAAACTTATGAACACTGAAGACACTGGGCCAAGAAGTCAACCCTTAGCCTGACGACAGGGTTCTCCGAGTTCGGCTGGCAAGTTTTCCCAACTGTGGGCATTGAGAACACCGGGATCACAACCCCAGATATTCGCTAAGGGCTTGCGATACATGCAGTATTTCACCGCAACATGCGGAAAATAAACATGCTAAGCTCCCATTTCGCACTGAGACGTGTGTTTCCAAGCAATTTCCAAATGGTCTTGTCTGAAAATAACCCAAGATTGCCAATGGTTTTGTTATTGGTTTATTAAAAAAACATTCTCCGATATCGCCGATATCCCATGAACATGTCAATAAATCTGGGTAAATTATAATATTTCACTAACCCGAATTAAGGCCGCCAACTTCTTGCGGTCCCTGCCCACCCCCCGCTGACGCCAAACCCGAATTAAGGCCATTTGGGGATGATTTCCCTTATTAACCATGATTCCAGTGAGGTCGTAGTGAGGTCGTTATAATTTAACCAGATAAATTGAGGTACTCCCTCCATTTTTCCAACCCAATTTCCACATGTTTCCACCCATTCAGCTCCAAACTGTACCCCAGGGAAGGGCTGGGGCCTCGGTGCTTGCCGCGAAAAACTGCCCCAAATATCCTATAACATCTATAAATAACTGTTAATCGCCAATGATATTTACCAATTATTTGGAAAATCTATTGGGTAACTATAGGTAAAATCAATTGAAACCAGTTATTTCACCAATTGAGGTAACTATACGGTAAAATCTGTTGAAACCGTGGAACCACAATCTAACGGCATCATTGTGAGGTCGTTCTTTTCTTCTCAGTTACAAGGTGTGGCCTCCGAAATATCAATTGGCTTACAAACCCCATTCACTACAAATATAATTAATTGGCATAAACTCTATATTGGAGTTATGAACTATCTTATAGCTAAAAATAAAGCAACTATAAATCACCATATTTGTTGGTTAACCACCCATTTTCATAGCTTAATAATAACATACCCTCTGGTAAACTAACATAACTATGGAAAATCAGCATTTTTAATGGGAAAACTCACTATAAATGGCAATTTTCAATAGCATTCAATAGCTATGTTAGTTTACCAGAGGGTAAAACTGTTAAATCCACCGGAAAAAAACTCACTCCTGAGCCAACCGGACACGGAAATGCGAAACGTCTGCACATGTCCTGGAAGGATGGGCCTGCGCGGCTGGGTGATGTGGCTGGGTGAGCCCGTTCCCTGACAAAAAAAAAGGACGCCTTCCCATAGAATTACAATCCATCTAGGGTATACTATAGTATATATGTACCTAAAACATGAGTGGTTTTACTAAACATGTTGTGCAAATGAAGGTTGATATTGGTTATTATATATAGTTATATTATATATCTATGCAACAAATGCATGCATGACATTACTTTACAGATTACATGGGGTAAACAGTAATGCCAAAGACAGGCAACAAACGAACCTTGCCAGCAAAAACATAGTCCATTTTGGCGAAAACTGATGATTCTGGATTATTTTAATATATTTAAACATATTTTAATATATTTTAATCATTCTCAATCCCATCCCAAGACTGCTTCATGCCCTTCAAATTAGATAGATTCAGATGGTTTCGCTCATCTCGACGATCAATTTGCGGTTCCCTAAAGTGGAGGTCTCCCCAAATCATCCAAGTCATGGATGACCATGACTTACTATTGAAACCGGCGACTTGGGGATCCCCCATGACTTAAGAAACCCCCACATGGATTTGTTTGAAAATGAATGAAAATAGGCAATCTATCCCCAAATATGATAGTTATTCATAATTTACCTTGAATAGCCACCAAGTTGGTGGTACCCTCTGGTAATTTAACATAGCTATTGAACATGGCCATTTTATAGTGGAATTTCCCATTGATAGCATGGTTGATCTTTCCATGGTTATGTTAAATTACCAGAGGGTATTCTTCCATAATTCTATGGTTATGTTAATTTACCTTGAATAGCCACCAAGTTTCTATCCCAAAATATGATAGATGTTCATAATTTACCTTGAAAAGTTGATGGTATTCTTCCATTTGACCAGTTTTAATGCCATCCTTAAGACGTTTTCCCCGGTCTCCAATAGTCCAATCGCCAGGCCAGGCCACATTGAACACACGTTTTCCCCCACGCCTGAAGCTCGCCTGCAGGGGGGTTGATCGATGGGTCAAAAACTTGCCACGGCGAAAAAGGTAGATATGTTTACATCTTATATATATCTGGGTAAATTATCATATTTCACTAACCTGAATTGTTCGGCCATTTGGGGATGATTTCCCTTACTAACCATGATTCCAGTGAGGGAGAACAGTGAGGTCGTTATAATTTACCCATATATATATTATATGTATATTTTATTAATAGCAAGACTATTAGCAGTAATGCTAGGAAAAATGTACTAGCAAGGAAAAAAACAACATTTTAGCAACTGGTTGGTGGTTTCAAGCCCTCTGAAAAATATTAGTCAATGGGAAGGATGACATCCCATATATTGTGGAACAAAAAAAATGTTTGAAACCACCAAGCAGGCAATAATCGAACAAATGTTAGAAGTCAAACTTCCGATGCAAGTCTGAACTTCTGAACCGTTCCAAGGGTGAAATTCACTTCCAAGCAGGACCAAACTTGCTAGCCATTTGAACCGATTGAAAATAACCATTGAAAACCAACTACTACAGTATATCCCTACAGTATCATCATAATTTCCCTTTTTTTAAATTGCCATTTGTTGGCTGGGTCATACAGAATCTGATTTTATACAACCCACGCCCACGTCCCCCTGGTTTATAGAGAACATGAGAAAATATTAGGAGGACAATACTGTCCTGGTAATTTAAGATAGCACAGCTATGGAAAATCACAACTTTGAGAAGTTTTTCCATAGCTATCTTAGACGACCAGAGGGTAAATCCTCATGTTCATCCATCTCAACATTTTCTCATTATATCCAATAAATTTCCATGATATCTTCATTCTCCCACTCAAAAACATATATGTACGATCATATCCCATGACATTCCCATTGTAACTTCATGATTTTCCATGATATACCCCTTAAATCCCTGTAAATCCAAGCAAAATACCCAGAAAGCCACTATAAATCCATATAAATATCCTACAGTCCCTATAAATCCTATTATATTCCTATATCAATCCCCAAAAAACCACCAGAAACCCCTTATAAAATCCCCAGAAACCACCAGGATTGACAACCCCCCTGCCTCCGCTGGCGTCTCCGCCGAGTCGTGGTGCGCTGAAGGCGCTGGCGGCGGCGAAAGTTGGGGAACCTGCACCTGAAGGGATGGTGACGTGGCACGTCCAGCTGGGTGAGGTATATACATATATAAACAATATAAATATTAAATAAATATAAAATAAATATTGTACAACTATTAAAGAAGCATTACTATATATATATATATATTACAATAATACATACATATATATATATATGTAAATAAAATTGTATTAACTAAAAAAATATATTCACATATATATTATAAGTATTATATACATATGGTATACATATTAGAAACATAATACAATATATAAATATTATAGGATATCTATATATGTACATATTGATCAATTACTATAAAACTATCATTAAAATTCTAGAAAACAATGTACACATAATATATATATATATATATATGAGTAAAAAAAATAAATACATAGTATATGCATATTAATATTGTATACATGTTGTATATATATATTGTAAACATATGGTATAAATATTGAAATAAAATGTGTAAAAAAAAACAAATAACCATTAACTAAATATTATATAAATATTACATAAATATAATTCAATTACCAAATATGTATTATATAATAAGTAATTGAATATTATAAATATCATACAAAACTGTGAACATATTCCAAACATATTATATAAATATTATTTTAATAATCATATTATAAAACATATTATATAAATGTAATAAAGATCATACCATCATGACATTCATATTTTATAAATTATCAAAACATTACACATATATATATATCAAAATAAACAAATAAATAAAT